CAAAATGGCAAGGAAAATACCAAAATTGGAAATTTTTAAATGTGCTTGATTTTTGTCTTATCATGGCTTGATAACTTGATTCCTTGCCATATATGTTGAGACATTCCCCTCCTCTATATAAGTGCAAGCATCATATCACAAGAAAACACGAGTCGGCTGCCTCAAAAGAACACAAAACTCTATAAAAAAATCGAGCTAGGGCAACCCAAAAACTCATTCTCCATCCACTCTCAATAAATTCCAAGCATCTATTCGCCTTCCTGACATTTTTAGGAGCAGGTCCAGACCAAGAACACTTCCAGTCGTGCCCAGAAGGCCTAGCCACGATTCACTGATTGGTAAATTTCTTGCATTTGAAATCTTAAATTTATGAATTGTTTACTAATGTTTTATGGTTAGATGTTCTCAAGATGATGATTAGGATTGTAATGAGGCTTTACATGCTATCCTAGACGTGGACATGGCTACCTGCCACTTTAACCGTGTTTGTTTGCATTTTCATTATAACTTTTTTTACAGTTCGTTTCAGGTCAAGATAACCCCACTATTGGATCCGCAATACCTGAATTAGGGGGGTAGCATGTATTTGTGTTTTTAATTCTGAAGTTTTCACATGGTTTGAGATTTTGGCTTTCCAGAAAAGACGATTGGAGTTAGGGATCTAGCGCTTCTCCGACCATATACTTCATTCTATGTTTTTGTTATTCTCGTTTGGTTTATACACCAGATGTAATGGTCGCCCCAACGGTAAGCGCGTGTGTGTTAAGGCGTTATGTGTTAGGGCATGGGTTCGATCCCTTCCTCTAGAATATTATTTTTCAATACATTTCTCTTGCAGATCTGGTACCAAGCAGGTTCACGCGCTCACCATGCATCCTTATCTCATAACCAAAGAAAGCATAGACAAGTTCATTGAGATAAAAGAAAAATTGAAATTTGAAACCACACCAATGACAAAAACTTGGGGGCAACACCTGAAGTTATCCCTGATCTCCTGAACTATGAGCACTTTGGAAATTTTAAAATGGTAGATGAAGTTTTCGCCATTGATGTGTTAGCTGAAGACGATTGGAGAAAACCCATAGTTGATTACTTAAAAAATCCAGTTGGGTCGATAGAGCACAAGGTTAAGTACAGGGCGTTAAATTATAGATTAATGGAAGATGAATTATTCAGAAAAACGCTCGAAGGAGTGTTGTTAAAATTCTTAGGAGAGAATGAAGCATATGTGGCAACAATTGAAGTGTATAGTGGTTCCTGTGGAACACATCAAGCAGACCAGAAGATGAAATGGTTGTTGTGTCGAATATGGGTATATTGGTCGACCATGTTAAAAAATTGCATTGATTTTTCCAAAATCTGCAAGAATGCCAAAAACATGCTGGAATTCAACATGTACTGGCTAGTGAATTGCACTATGTTATCAAACCTTGGCCTTTTAGGGGATGGACTTTGGATATTATTGGAGAAATAAAGCATGCATCATCAAAGAGCCACAAATACATCTTGGTAGGTATTGATTATTTTTCAAAATGGATAGAAGTGGTCGCTTTGGTTAAAATAGACCAATAGGAAGTCATGGCCTTCATTCAAAACCAAATCATATATAGGTTTGGGACGCCAGAGGCCATAACAACTGACCAAGGACTATGTTCGTAGGGCGAAAGATGAATGAGTTCACTGCATAAATGGGATTCAAACTGTTAACATCGATACCATATTATGTCCAGGAAAATGGGCAAGTCAAAGCAGATGAATGATTTTGATCTGTTGTCGCACGCATGTTAAAATGAGTTTTAAAAATGTAGTATAACAGAAGCGACACTCAAGTCGTATCGCAAGGACTCTTAATAATTTTAACTGATCGAATGAAACAAAGGTATTTTAATGTTTAGACTTAAATCGCTGATAAACAAATTGAAAGCAAATATGTGAACAAGTTAATCTACTGTTTCAGTTTCCAATATATCATTGATTCTTATCATTCCAATTTCCTATGCGGATTCTATTCCCTTTTAGATTACAACAACAATCAACATGCGTAATTGATATTATATGATATATGTTCCTAATTTCTGAATTGAGAAAACAGATAAACAAACGCGACTTAGTCAAACGGGATTAACGAAAAAGCTAAGCTAACGCGATTATAGTAAAGAACATACATCAATCGAAATAAATCAAATATATTCTATAAGAAGCGGTCTAATTAAAAAAACAATAGCAATCAAATTAAGAAAACAAATTCATAGATAGAATTGAAAAGAAATTGAAATTGAATTGGAAATTATAAAAACCTCAAAGTATCAGTGAAAACTCAAACAGCAGATCAACCTTAGGTGATTAGTTCTCCATAGAAATTGTAAGCCATGTTTTCTAATATTGTGAAAATTGAATCCTCCAGAAGAAGCACTTCATTTTAACTTAAATAGTACAAGAGAATCGGGCTTAAAGAGCAACCGGCCCGAACATTTCATAAAACCCGCCCAAAAATCAATTATCTTCTTAAGTCTAGAACTAAACTGAATTTTATTAGACCCTTCTGCACCCCAAACTCGAATTTGTCTTCAACATCAAACTTGTACCGTATCTTCTCATCTTTCCAACATATATTAGAATGCGTCAATCTGATTTCCGTAGCTAAAGTTATGATCAGCACAATGAAAAGGTATCAATTAACCATTTAAGCTTAAAATAAAGTACGAAATTAAAATAAAGCCTGAAAATAAACTTAAATATAAAAATACACTAAAATAGTAAAAATACTAAAATAAACTATAGAATTTCCTAATTACAATAGTAGAAGAATATACATTAAAATGCATTGATCACTCCACCTCCTTGATATTTTCTTCTTTTGTCTGATTCTTAAACATATTTGTTATCTCCTTCTTAAAATCTCTCTTATGTGCTTTGAACTGTTTTGATTTTCCCATTTTTTCTTTGAAGTGGGATAAGATGAGAATATTCACACAGAATGATTGTATTTATAGAAGAAGATCTTGGGTAACATTCAAATATGCTTTAAAGATTTTCCTTGGAAAGCTACTTTTGTGAGTTTCTGATTTTATCTATCTTGTCAGTTATGGAAATAGTGATTGCCTTCTCCCCGGCCAATAAGATTTTGAAAATTGTTTGTTTTGTTCTATTCTATACTTTCTTCAAACTATTTTCTTGCTTTACTTTTTCTGTTTTTTCTATTAATTGATTGATGGTTAAGCAGACTCTTCCATTCTAAAGGATGTGTTAAAGTAAGACAAGCATAGTAACATAAATACCTTCATTTATTAATGTTATACCCCAAATTTTCCTACCCTTTCACTTTTAACTGGCTTATGATTTTCATTTCATTTACACCACTTCTTTAGGACATTTACATAGCATTAATTCATTCAATAAGATACCTTGGTTCAAAAGGATCAGGGGTCATGCAAGCTAGGGTTTCACATTGGTTTGGGGTGTCTATGTAAAATAAGACTGATTCTTCTGACTTTTCATTGAGTATTGGATTGTGGAGTTAGGGTTTTGGTTCATGGACTTCTTCTTCATCAAATTACAAGGTGTGCATCCACCAAGATATTTCAACTGAAGATCATTAAATTAGGGTTAATCTCACAGATGCATTGACTATCTCTCCTTTCACTTCTCAAGCTTAGTTTTCATCTGAGGGTTTCATTGAGAAGTGAATCATGTTTCATCTTCTTGTGATTGGTTAGGACTTTGTGTCAAGAGGCTTGATATTAGCTGGATATAATTCCTCTATTTATCAAGCTAGGGTTTTTGGCATATTCTCTAATCAGTTGAGGCTTGGATTGCAAGGCATTATAGCATGACATTCTTTGATTCTATCTTTCGCTAATTCAAGGTGTGGAATTCAAGATTTTTGGGTTATAAGGCAAGAATCACGATTTGTGCAATAAGGTGATAATAATTCATTTGTCTTATGCATATCAAGTTTGCTTCATGTATAAGACATTATGGATTCAAGCATGTAATTGGGATTCACCAAAGATTTAATCATGACACGAGTGTTCAATTATGGTGGAACTTTGAAAAGCATACAAGTTTGATTCAAAGTTTTTCATCAAGATTCGTATGAATATCATTCATGATTCACTATAATTCATCCACGAGTTTCAACATTTAAAAATTTCATCAAAGGTTCTATTCATCATTAAGTTTTTGTTCATTCATTTAACTATGGATCAAAAGCCATTTTTCAATTGGTACGCATCAATACACTTAAGTGCAAGATTTGCTTTCAAGAACCAAAATGTAAAGGGAAGGGATTTTCATTAATTTTCAAATAGGCTGCAAGTACAAGCCATACATATTCATTACAAAAAAATACAAAATGGAGTACAAAAGAAATTGCAAAAAGTCAACACAAGTTTGCCCCATGCTAATCTTCATCAAATTCCCTTATTATCACCCATGTATCATTTCCTTCAATCTTGATTCAAATCTTCATAATCATAGCCATGCATTCTCCAAACTCTTGCTGCTACAAACTTGACCCTTCATCAGCTCCAATCCAAACATAAACACAAACCTGCAGAAAACTGAAACCAGAGCAAACCAGCATGTTGTTCCAAATAACTGTTACCCTGCATTAGTCCAAAACTTCAATAAACTAGTTCACCACCGGGTTAAGCTTGCACTATTGAATCAAACAGGAAAAATAGCTTAGTAGAAAAAAGAGAAAAGGAAGATAAATTCATTAAATCAGAAAAGAGGAAATAATAGAATTTCATAACAGAGTTGTCAACCTTCAATTTGATTCAATCTCCACCTTTCATCCATAACAAACTCCTCAAAATCAAGAGTTGAGATTGATTTAATCTGTAACTAACTTTTCTGCATCTTAACCACCTATATAAGATCACTTCTCCTTCAATCATTGATCATTCTTCGTCATTCTTGAAGAATCAACCTTCACTCTGCAAAATATTTCCAGAAACTTCTCTCTGCACTCTCTTTGAAACTGCACTGCATCTTCATCACTGCAAATAACAATAACACCGCATCGCAACTTTCAGCATCATCACAACAACTTCACGCAACAACAACACACAGAACAACATCAACATGTAGAAACCGAAAGAAGAAAGTAGAAGGAGATTTGAGCTAAGAAGTGAGAAAGAGAAAGAACATGGAGATCGAAGCTTTCATGAGCCACGAAGAAGCACCAGACTTGTCTCTGGTAGGTAAGCCTTGCGTTATTCATTAGTATATTGTATGCTTTGCTATTTGCTTTTGATTCAATTAGAGATGGTGAAGAGATCCGCGAAAGAAGTTGGACCGGAATGGAGAGATGAGCGGAGAAGATGAGATACGATCGTGCGGTGGTGTAGCCACAGTGTTGTGATGGTGGGAGAAGAGCAAAGGAGCCAGAGAGGGAATCGATGAGACGAAGAGGGGACGAGACGGTTAAACACGGCGGTGATGTGATTAAGTTCGTCGGAGAAGATGAGTTGGGAAGGAGGAGCATCAACGCGTTTGAGAATGAGGAGGGAAGAAAGTGTGTTTTCGAAAATATCTCAATAGTCACAACTTGAAACCCTAGATCCACTTGAAACGCATCGTTTCCACCTTTTGTTTCATTTTCTTTATTTATTTTTGTTTTTTGTTTTAATTCAATATTAATGAAAATAAAGAGCTGAATAATTTATTGGTGATTTTTGTTGGATTTGAAATGGGACTTGAACAAATTTTCCATACCTACACACTAAGCCCAAGCACACGTTTTTGCACCCCTGAAGCTAGCAAACCAAAAGACTTACTAGACCTCACATTTTGGCCTTGCGCCCAGACTTTCCTTTTGGTTCACACACACCTGACGCAGCTTGCACCCCCTGACACTTTATTTTAGATTTCTTTGTATTTGTTTGATGCCATTAATTGTTTGCATTTTCTTTACATGATAAAAAATATTAGAATTATTATTTCTCTTATTTTTGTTAATTGTTTGGTTGATTGTGTCATGTTTTCTTAGGAAATTACATTAAACAATCAAATTCATTTTGGTTGTTTAATGTTGAATTAGACTTTAGGATCAAACCAAACATGATAATATTTAGGCTAGATTTTTCCCTCAAAACTCAACCTTAGGTCCAATTGCATGATAACAATTAATATTGAGATCCCTTTGCTTTTACTCTTTCCTTTTGCATAACATTCTTTTTCCTTTAAAAAACAAAAACTCATTTTCTTAATCAAATACAAAAACACATAAAAATATGATACGTACAAATACGCCTTGAGCCTTAAGTACATGGGGAAAGATGAGCGAAAATCTTCTTTATCTCTTCTTAGAGAACTTTGAATCTGGGGCGTCTGACCCAATCATTCAAAGTATTCGCCCTCATGTCATAGACTCTATTATAATATGTATCTAAAAAAAAATTCAAAACTAAAGGAGATATACTCAAATACCCCCAGTCTTGAGGGACCATTTGAGGTATTTCCTAATAAAACACTTCAACAAATCCAAATCCATTTTATGCCTCTTGGTTTTTCTCTTTAAAAAATTTTCAAAAGGGTATGTTACTTTCGTTCTACCGCAATACAGGTAACGCATAAGTCTCCACACAGCGAGCAACACCGCCTGATGCTAGAACGTGAATGTTAACATCGCCAATAAAAAACAACCGACAAACCAACATTTTTAGAAGAACTATGGAGTTCTGATTTCTTCATTGCAATATGAGGATACTTAGGCACTGGGTTGAAAAACCTGGGCGAACTCAACAATAAAACCCTTTTCTTTTTCCCAATAATTCGTTCATGCATTCTTAGCAAGTAAGCTTTAGATAACACACCCTTAGATATGAACAACCAAAGTGGATCCTATTGAGTACAGTGAATGTGATGGGTGTTAATACCTTCCCTTGTATAACAGACTTTCGTACCTTTCTCTTAGTTGTGTTGACCATCTTATCCTTCCTTCTGGGTTTTATCGATGTTTTCCATTCCCTTCGAAATAAATAAAGTTTGATGGCGACTCTGTGTTTTTTTCTACGGTGCGACAATTAAAAAATATAGTACAAGGATATATCTTAAGGATATTACATAATTAAGACAATGAAATATTAGAACTATTAATGGAGCTTTCTTATTGGTTCATCAATTTATCCATATAATCCAAATAGTCTTGGTCAGCCTCACCTTTAGATGGAGGAGAATCCTCCCTCCTGTTTCTTTGTAATGCTTCAATAGTTATGCTTCTGCTTTGTGTCGTAAGTTCAACAGAATTACTTGCTAAGTCAACAACAAAGTAAACATGAGTTGGAGAAGCCTCTTCAGCCTTTTATTTCTCATCTTTGGCTTGCTTCTTTTGTTTCACAGTCTTATTGGCATCTATTTCTATCTTTGATAGTTTTCGCCTATCCATGATTGATAGACTGTATAGACCTGAAAGAGAAAGATGATCTGATTAAGCTCTATGGCATCTTCTTTTATATAGAAATTTTTCCTTGAAAAGGGAAATCTTCAAAATCTTTTGGTCATGCTTCTCGATTCGTGTTATGTATGCTACTATGTCATAATCTCACTTTCACCATCTTGGAATTTGAATTTAGCATGCTTATCCATCAACACATTTGTGTTTTTCACTAATTTTTAACCTACTACCTCTTTCACTCTCTACTGCTTTTATTTTTCATACTGAGCTAATGTTTTTTTTCTGTTCAGTATCTTTTTCTCTCTCAATTCTATTTATTTACTTTTTGTTGATGACAAAAGGGGGATAAATATGAGAGTATTTAAAGAGTTTGATATAGAATTTTTTGTTATGTCTTTTATCAAGATTTTGAATCCACTTTAATGTTATATGCTTAATATTGTTAAAAAGGTTTAATAACTTGGATCGGACTTAGGGGGAGCTTACAAAACTCAACCTATGAACTATTAGACTAAGAGAGAGCTTACAAACCTCAGGCTCTAAAGTTGTCAAGTTACTAAAAATAGTTTAAATAATTTGATAGAACTTAGGGGGAGCTTACAATCCTCAACCTATGTATTATTAGACCCAGGGGGAGCTTACAACCCTCAGACTCTAATGTTGTCAAGTTATTAAAATTGACCCAGCGTTGTTCTTAAATACACTTGTTTGTCATCATCAAAAATAGGGAGATTGTTGGAACAAAATTTGTTCATACTCCTTGAGTTTTGATGATAACAAAGTACCTAAGAAAAATAGGGTATTCTAACGTTTTATTAAGTGTGCATGATCATTAAGCTTATAAGTAACTAGGTTATGACCCGGTTAAATGGCTTATAAAGAAGAAGCGATTCAGATTCTATTGGATCAAAATATGATTTTGAAATAGAACCTCAGCGCCAATTAACTCAACATCGGATGTTCTAATGAAGGCATCAGCACCATGTTAACTCATCCTCTAATGTTCAAATGGAACTTCGAAGTGCCATACTGAAAGCATAGTACTGACTCCTGTTTGTTCGTACTCTATGCAAAAGCAGCTCCATCTTATCAACCGCCAAGAATTATGGATAAATTACACTTGAGGTTTCTAGTGCATGGCTCAAGGATGCTTGGACGTGATTTCTTCAGTCTACTCTAGCATGCCTATGGACGTCTTACTTGAGAAAGACACAATGGATAAAGAGATTATTCAAAAGATGAAGATCCTCATTGTACCTACTGCAACGTCTCTCTCTTGGAAACCGCTTCTTCAGCAATGATACTTGTGCAAGCAAACTTCCAACATCTCTTTTGTTCCCTCTATATAAGGATTTGAAGATTCAAAATAAGTAACAACAAGATACAACAACATACAACAAGAAAGAACAAGATGTGTTCCGCTCTCTAAGTTTTTGTACATAAAGTTGTTGTGTTGCACACAGACTTGATATTTGTTTAAACTTGTATATCTTAGAAATCTCAAGTAACAAGGTCTTTTGTGTGTTGTATTGTTTGTACCTATGATTGAATAACAGGTACATCTTGTTGTAACCCTAAACAGTTTGTTTAGAAATTGTAAAAGTCTTAGACTGAGTGTTTGAGCAAGAAAGTCTCAAACTGAGTGTTTGAGCAAGGAAGTCTCTTTCGTTGTGATTGAACAATGAAGTACTGAACTGCAAGTTTAGGAAAGGAAGTCTCTTCCAGTGTGATTGAGAAAGGAATTCCTAAACTACATGTTTAGGAAAGGAAGTCTCTTTTAGTGTGATTGAGCAAGCAAGTCCTGAACTACATGTTTAGGAAAGGAAGTCTCTTTCTGGTTAGATTGAGAAAATAAATCCTGAATGGTTTGTTTAGGTAAGAAGTCTCTTTCTGATTTGATTGAGAAGGAAGTCTTGGACATGTGTGTCTAAGCAAGTTGTAATCAGGTTCTGATTATAGTGAAAAGCTTTTGCTTAGCAAGGAGACTAGACTACTCTTGTTATAGAGGAACCATCATAATCTTTGTGTGTGATTTAATTATTGCTTCTTCATTTTAAATTATTCTGCTGATGCATACTCTAGCTTAGAATCTGAACTTGGTCAAATTCAGAAGGTGTTGATTCTAAAAAACAAAAGTAATCTTAAGTAAGTTCTTTTTAAAAATAATTAATTAAAACTTTGAAACTAATTTTGGGCCAAAACTCATTAATTTTGGGCCAAAACTCATTCTATACAATATTAGCCCAGCACCCAATTTCCAATTTACTATGTATGTCTGAGCTATTTAAAGACTTACAATATTGGTTAAAATTTCAATGTGGAACCACACATAACTCTTATGTTTCACAAAACTCTTATTACTAGGCATCATAACTGAAAGTATCTTCGGTATCTCTCTTTATAAGTTGTGCACTAAATTCAAATTTTATTTTATCATAACACATACTTACTGAATGTAAGATCCAAACCATTTCATATTGACCTTCTGACATGAAGACATATTTGTTAAGCAATACTGCACTTTATCCTCATTTACATCATTTTCTACTGTACAAATTGAAATAAATTGAGAAGTAGGCATTTTCTTGTTGGGGGAGAAATATATTTCCATGTTTTGAGACTGAACATGTTTCGAGAACTGAATGATAGAACAAGCCTTTCTAACTGAACTCAAAAAACTTTCATTGTTATTTGAGGATTTCTTCCCCTGGTCTTTGCTTATTATGGGATAGCCAAATGTTCCCTTAAGAAGCTCATCCAACGAAGGTTCGTCCATGACATTTATGACATCATGAAAATTGTATGTTTGTTACTTGGAATGGTAGGTTAATGATGCCATGACAGTATTTAGGAAACTATTATAGGAAGGTGGTACAAAATCATGAGTCTTTAGAAAACCATTATTCTGATATGCCCGGATAAAAAAGTTGGCTTATAAATTATAACTTTGAAATATAATTAAACAAAAATAAATTACATTGAAGTTTAACAGAAATAACTGAACAAATAATATAGTAAAAGTGACATTGATTTCAAGTAACACTGATTATAGTGAAGCAGGCAACCTGATTTCAAGTATTAGGCATCTT